TCGTGACATAAGCATTATCCAGTTGGGTATAAAAAAATGAGCAAATGAGCAATAATTGCATAAGGGGATAAACAGAGATGTCACCGGTTGGAGCATCTTTTTAAAATTTGTAATTGGGTGGCTCTCTTGGTTCTTGCTTTTTTTTTTTTTTTTTTTTTTTTCTTAGGTCTCATGAATAATTGATTGAATTTCTAATGACAACAACAACAACGTGTTTTTTTTTTCTTTCTTTTTTGGAACAAAAAACAACAACAACGTGTTATGTGTGAAATAAATTATAAAGTCATATTTAAGTTTGTGCATGAAAATCATTAGCAATATAAATTTTTATTTGTTAAATTTCAATAATTGAATCAAAATTTTTAGCTACAAAACACGAACAAGTAAGAACTAATTCAAATGATTGAATCAAAATTTCTAAATTAGGGAGATATTAAGTCAAATTTAAAGTTAAACATATATGTCGTATCTTTTAAAGGTGAAGTCTCACATCTCACCCTAAAATTATATCGAAAGTCAAATATAACTTTTAATTTAGCTGGTTATATATTACATTTGATTCCAAATTTAACTTAATTCTTCTACAATGAACCAGAAAATATCAGGTAATATATGATTACAAATTTTCCAGCCCATGAGAATGGAGATATATAATTATAATGACATGACAATAATAAAATTATTTTTGTTCTGGTAAAAATATATTTTTTTTTTATGTTAGAAGAAATTATAGTAATGGTTCCTCAACTTTAATACAATTTGAGTAATGGTTCTTCAACTAAAAATACATGATTATTGGTCATTTAACTCATCAAAACGTGCAGTTATAGTCATTTTCATCAACTCCGTTAAAACTTTCGCAACATGAGTCATGCGCCATGCCTGTGAGGTTGAATCAAATGACAAATATTGAAAACCAAATTAGAAAAATTATAGCAATAGTCGCTAAACTTTAACCTAATTGGAGAAACGATCCTTCAACTTTAACCCAATTATAGCAATGGTCACCAAACTTTAACCCAATTGTAGCAATGATCCTTCCAACATGACTCATATTGATGAAATTCTGACGAAGTAGACGAAAATGACTATAACTACACGTGTTGATGAGCTAAAAGATCAATGATCATAATTTTTAGTTGAGGGATTACTAATTAGTTAAAGTTAACGAATCATTGTTATAATTTTTACTTTATTTTATGCAAAGGATAGAAATATACCCAAAAGAATTCACCGCTAAGAAAAAGCTAGGAATATGATAGTGACTTTTTTTAATTAAAATCCTAACGTATATGGTCTGGAACTTTCAGCATCTTATGATGCTTAGCTCTTTGTGACGCGAATCTTAATGGGACTTGGCAGGCATATCCGAAAGGTTTGAAATGATCGCTATTAAGAAAAACTAATGAAAATTCTTTAAAAACTTTGAGTTTTAATTATAAAAACAAAATAAAAGGTAAAGTGAATAGTATCAGGATTAACTTTTTAGTGTAAAAATGTGATTTTTCATTAAAATGAGTACCGAGAACTTTTTATTAAAGTTCCCTTTCTACCATGGGCTAGAGAGCACAAGAAACCACTTACAACATTGAAAAATAAGACACAAGTTATGTAAGAACGGCGAAAGTCGCATGTTTTTTTAATTCGTATGTTTTTTTTTTTTTTTTGAAAGAGATCAATTGATGACTTTATCAATCCATCTTTTTAGGTGTCGGGAAGACTTATAGAAATATTTTAACCTCCCATGAATATTAGTGTGTGATTCACCAGCATCAGAAATTGAACCTAGAATATGTCATGTAGAATATAGGTTTGAAATTCGTCCACAACCACTAAGCAACCTCATGGTGGGTTTTAATTCATATGTGTTAGTAAATGTAAGGAAAGCCATGAATCAAAATAATTTCAATACCGATGTGTTAGCAAACACTGAAAAATTAAAAACCTGATAATTCAAATTCTCATTCCAAGTAATTAAAGTGTCATTTATAATCCATATATAAATGAAAAACTTGGAAACTATAGATGGCATTTTGGTGGTTCCTTTGCCATTTAGCTCAATGAAGCATTCATTGACCAAAAAGGAGTAGTTTGCCAAACCATGTGAATGGTTATGGAAGCAAAGTATATATCTTTAATCTAATTGAAGACAAAATATTTATTTTTGGGCTAATTTCAGGGGTGCCCACAAAACCCTTTTATTAGGGGAAAAAGATCCTTTCCGGATCTCTTCCATCAAGGTCCTCAGATCAAGTGATTCGGGCCCTTGAAACTTGATCAAACGGCTAAAGTTATTATAACTTTTAAAAGAGAACTCTGTTTTTAGCCGTTAGATCAAATTTTAAGGATTCGGATCACTTGATCCGAAGACTTTGGTGAAGAGATCCGGAGAGGATCTCTTTCCTTTATATGATTACAAATGAACCAAATATAGCTTAATTTTTCTACAATGAACCAGAAAATATCAGGTAATATATGATTACAAATTTTCCGGCCCATGAGAATGGAGATATATAATTATAATGACATGACAATAATAAAATTATTTTTGTTCTGATAAAAATATATATTTTTTTATGTTAGAAGAAATTATAGTAATAGTTCTTCAACTTTAATACAATTTGAGTAATGGTTCTTTAACTAAAAATCCATAACCATTGGTCCCTTAACTCATCAAAACGTACAGTTATAGTCATTTTCATCAACTCCGTTAAAACTTCCACAACATGAGTCACGCACCATACATGTGAGGATGAATCAAATGACAAATATGGAAAACCAAATTAGAAAAATTGTAGCAATAGTCGCTAAACTTTAACTCAATTGGAGAAACGGTCCCTTAACTTTAACCCAATTGTAGCAATGGTCGCTAAATTTTAATCCAATTGTAGCAATGGTCATTCTAACATGACTCATTAACTACACGTGTTGATAAGCTAAAAGACCAATAATCATAATTTTTAGTTAAAAGATTACTAATTAGTTAAAGTTGACGAATCATTGTTATAATTTTCATTTTATTTTATGCAAAGGATAGAAATACACCCAAAAGAATGCTCACCACTAAGAAAAAGCTAGGAATATGATAGTGATTTTTTTTTAATTAAAATCCTAACGTAGTATCGTCCGGAACTTTCAGCATCTTGTGATGCTTAGCTCTTTGTGACGCGAATCTCAATGGGACTTGGTAGGTATATCCGAAAGGTTTGAAACGAGAAGGGGTATTCTCTACCCTCATATTCTTATTTTCTTCTCTCACACATTGTTTTTATCTTATTATCTCTATAAAAAAAATCAATATAAGATGTTGATGTGGCTTAACTGTAACCGTTCAAATAGAAGAGCATAGAAGGGTAGAGAGATTAGAAGGATAGAGAATCCTCCTCCTTGAAACGATCCTTATTAAGAAAAACTAATGAAAATGGATTGAAAATTTTAAGTTTTAATTATAAGGACAAATAAAGGGTAAAGTGAATAGTACCAGAATTGACTTTTTAGTGTAAATATATGATTTTTCGTTAAAGTGAACAATACCAGGAGTTTTTCGTAAAAATTCTCTTTCTACCATGGGCTAGAGAGCACAAGAAACCACTTACAACATTGAAAAATAAGACACAAGTTATGTAAGAACGACGAAAGTCACATGTTTTTTAATTTGTATGTATATTTTTTTTTCAAAAAGAGATAAGCTGATGACTTTGTCAGTCCACCTTTTTAGGGGTCGGAAAGACTCATAGAAGTATTTTAACCTCTCCTGAATATCAGTGTGTGATTCACCAGCGTCAGAAATTAAACGTAGTATATGTCGTGTGGAATGTAAGTTTGGAATTCGTCCACAACCACCAAGCAACCTCGTGGTTGGTTTTAATTCGTATGTGTTAGTCAACGTAAGGAAAGCCATGAATTAAAATAATTTCAATACCGATGTGTTAGCAAACACTGAAAAATAAGAAACCTGATAATTCAAATTCTCATTCCAAGTAATTAAAGTGTCATTTATAATCCATATATAAATGAAAAACTAGGAAATTATAGATGGCCTTTTGGTGGTTCCTTTGCGATTTAGCTCTATGAAGCATTCATTGACCAAAAAGGAGTAGTTTGCTAAACCATGTGAATGGTTATGGAAGCAAAGCATATATCTTTAATCTAATTGAAGACAAAATATTTATTTTTGAACTAATTGCAGTGGTGCCCACAAAACCTTTTTATTAGGGGAAAGAGATCCTCTCCGGATCTCTTTCACCAAGGCTCTCAGATCAAATATCCAGGCCCTTAAAAATTTGATCAAACGGCTAAAATTATTATAACTTTTAAAAGGGGCCTCTATTTTTAGTCGTTGAATCAAATTTCAAGGGTTTGGATCACTTGATCCGAAGCTTTGGTAGAGGAGATCCGGAGAGGATTTCTTTTCTTTATTAGTAGGTAGTTGAGGAAAGTTAATCAAAATTAACAAAAATTAGGACCCCCACCCCACAAAAGAGGAAGAAATCATAAACCTTTTCTCCTTTACGCATATATATGCATATCTTTGGCTTTTAGAATGAAATAAATTAATAGAAAATCAAGAGGGAAGGTTAAACAAGAGTTTGAAGGAGAAAGGGGCGTGTGATTTTCTAAAGATGGTTCACATGTTTATTTGCTTGGAATGAGACCCTTAGTTGATCTGATTTTTTATTTTGTAAGTATTTTTACGAATTTTAATGTGGAATACAAATAATTCCGAAACAGTTCGTTGTGAATAATTCAAATACACATGTTTTAAACATGTCATATAATTAACCCTCAAATTTTAAATTCGTCTTAATAAGCCACCAAAATGAACCAAAAAGGAAACAAACAAAAAGAGAGAACAGAAAAAGAAAGAAGAAAAGGACTAGATTAAAAGGATGCAAAAAATATAGGGGTAAGGAATGAAATACAATCAAATCTCAGGTTCTCTTTCTAAATTACGTACTCTGTTTTTGTTTTTATTTTTTATTTTTGGCTTTCAAAATTTTGTTTTCATTTTTGTTTGAAAGAGGCAACGGCAATTCAGAGAGAGAGACTCAGAGACTCGGGGAGAGAGAGAGAGAGAGAGAGAGAGAGAGAGAGTGACAGAGAGTTTTGGCGACCGAAACGCTGCTCAGAAACCTTCGAAACTCTCCTTTTCTTTTGGATTTCGGATTTCGGATTTCGTTCCCTCCTCCTCTTTAAATTCAAAATCTTCTACACTTCTCCTCAAAATTCCAGCTCGGAATTTCAAGCAAGCGACTTGAATCGTGCAATTTAGGGTTTTTGTTGGTTCTCGATTCACCAGCAAGCTTCTGTTTCCCAGCCAGCTCAATTCGGTAATTAAAGTTTCACTCTTCATTAATTTTCTAAATTTTCAATTAAATTTTCGACTTTTCGCAAGTTCTGTGAGAAAATAGGATTGCCCAATAAATTTGAATTCTCAAAATTTTCCCCTTTATGTGAATTTGCAGAATTGGGTTTTGCTTAATTTGATTGGAAAATTGTGTGGAAAGAAAAAAAGTAAAAGATGTCAAATTTGGAAGGTGGGAAGAAGAGGGGCGGAGATTCCGGTAATCGGAAATTGTTGAATGAGATTGAGAGTATAAGCAAGGCTTTATATGTAGACAAAAAATCCTCTAAGAGTTCAATTCCGGCGGGGAGTAAACCGTCAATGTCTCTAGGGAAGAACCGTTTACCTGATCCGAAATCGAAGAATAAGTCTGGTGGTGAAAACTTGTCAAACAAAGAGAAGAGGTCCTTTTGGAATTGGAGGCCCTTGAAAGCGAGTACCCATATCCGAAACCGTAGGTTTAACTGCTGCTTTTCTCTTCAAGTCCATTCCATTGAAGGGTTGCCCTCCACTTTGAATGGAATTAGTCTCTGTGTACATTGGAAGAGGCGGGATGGGATTTTCGTTACTAATCCAGTGAAGGTAGTTCAAGGGACGGCAAAATTTGAGGAGAAGTTGGCTCACACATGCTCAGTGTATGGTAGTAGGAGTGGACCCCACCATTCGGCAAAGTATGAAGCGAAGCATTTTTTGCTATATGCTTCTGTGTTTGGTGCACCAGAACTTGATTTGGGGAAGCATAGGATTGATCTCACGAGGCTGCTTCCTCTGACATTGGAGGAGTTAGAGGAGGAGAAAAGCTCGAGGAACTGGACGACGAGTTTCAAATTATCAGGAAAGGCTAAAGGTGGTTCATTGAATGTTAGTTTTGGGTATACAGTGCTTGAAGATAATCCCAGAGCAACAGGAAATAGCCAGAATGTTCCTGAGGTATTGATTTCGAGGCAGAATAACTCAAGTATAAAGCGTTCTGGAACTCTTCCTAATCAGCAGTCACGGGCCTCATCTCAATCCATAGAGGGCATAAAGGATCTTCATGGGGTTTTGCCAGTATCAAGGTCGGAACTTTCTAGTTCAGTGAATACACTATTTCAGAAATTTGATGACGAAGAGAAGTCAGATACTCCAGTTGACAAGCATCTTGATCCTATGAAGACGAGTCTTTTCCCATCATCTAATTCTGGTAAAGAAGTAGAAAATGAGTGTGAAGAAAACGAATTTCCCGTAGTTGAACAGGGGATAGAATTACCATCAAAGGAACTGGCGGAATCAGAAGTTGTTACACAGGTTGCTGATGCTTCTCCAGCAGAAAGCCATTTTTCTGAAATCACCACTGGTGTACAAGTAGCAGTTGAAGATGAAGCTGAGCTTGAATCCCAGGCTGGGGAAAAGGGTCATACTGATGACCCTGTGGTAAGTGAGTCCACTTCCAACAGAGATGCCTTGTGCACCAAAGAATCACTCATGAATGAGCTAGAGTCCGCTCTAAGTATTGTATCTGATTTGGAGAGTGCAGCACTAGAATCTTCACCTGAAGACCAAAGATGTTTTGTGGAAGGTAAATTAGATTCAAAACTAAATATGATGGGGAGATCGCATAGCTTGGATGATGTTACAGAATCTGTTGAAAACGAGTTCTTGAACATGCTAGGGATAGATCATAGTCCACTTTCCTTGAGTTCTGAGAGTGATCCTGAGTCTCCAAGAGAGCGTCTGCTAAGACAATTTGAGAAGGAAGCCCTTGCTGGAGGTACTTCTTTGTTTGATTTTGACGCAGGCATCAGTGACCAAACAGACTATGGCTACACGCCTTCAACTGAGACTGGTTGGGAGAACTTATCTGATAGTTTTGATTTCTCCTCTGTGATTCAAGCTGCAGAGGAAGAGCATCAGATAGCAGCTCAGGCAGTAAAAAGTAAAGCAAAGGCCAAAATGTTGGAGGACTTGGAGACGGAAGCATTAATGCGGGAGTGGGGCTTAAATGAGATGGCCTTTGAACATTCTCCACCAAAAGGTTGTGCTAGTTTTGGAAGTTCGATGGATTTGCCTGCTGAAGAACCGTTAAAATTGCCTCCTCTTGGAGAAGGGTTAGGTCCTTTTCTTCAGACAAAGAATGGAGGGTTTGTGCGGTCCATGAATCCCTCACTTTTCTGCGAGGCCAAAAGTGGCGGGACCTTGATCATGCAGGTTTCTAGTCCAGTTGTGGTACCGGCAGAAATGGGTTCTGGGGTAATGGAGATATTGCAGCATTTGGCATCAGTAGGAATTGAGAAGCTTTCTATGCAGGCAAATAAGTTAATGCCCTTGGAAGATATCACTGGAAAGACAATGGAACAAGTAGCATGGGAAGCTGTGCCTGCTTTGGAAGGACCTCAGAGGTTTGTGCGTTGTTTTTACACTCGATTTTGAAGCTCGAAGTCCAACACTTCTAGTACATCTTTGGTGTGAGTATTGTTTACTTTATTGCGTGTCGTTATTGCTGCAGGGAATTTGTGGCACAGCATGAATCAGTTGGGCATCATACATCGGATGGGCTAACCAGAGCTAAAGGAATTTCATCTGGGACTAAGTCTAATAAGTTAAGTTCGAGTGCGGCTGGCAATGAGATTGGCTTAGAATATGTCTCTCTAGAAGATCTTGCTCCTTTAGCCATGGATAAAATTGAAGCGCTCTCAATTGAGGGGTTGAGAATACAAGCCGGGATGTCCGATGCAGATGCACCTTCAAACATCAGCGCACAGTCTGTTGCGCAAATCTCAGCTCTCCAGGGCAAGGGTGTCAACGTTGGCGAATCCCTTGGTCTGGAAGGAGCTGCTGGGATGCAGTTGTTAGACATAAAAGACAGTGGCAATGATGTTGACGGATTAATGGGCCTCTCATTAACTCTTGATGAATGGTTGAAACTCGATTCTGGTGAAATTGATGATGGTGATCATATTAGTGAACGGACTTCTCAAATCCTTGCGGCTCATCATGCAAACTCTTTGGACATGATTCGCGGAGGGTCAAAGGGAGAGAGAAGGCGTGGCAAAGGAGCTAGAAAGTGTGGCTTGTTGGGGAACAATTTCACAGTAGCACTGATGGTGCAACTTCGTGATCCACTACGAAACTATGAACCTGTTGGGGCACCAATGCTTTCTCTTATTCAAGTAGAAAGAGTGTTTCTCCCACCGAAGCCAAGAATATACATCTCAGTTTCAGAACTGAGGAAGAATGATGAAGAGAGTGATCAGTCTGAGTCAGTGGGAAAAGAAGAAGAAATAAAGGAGGAGATGAAAGATGAGAAATTGGCCGAAGTGGAAGCTATTCCTCAGTTTAGAATCACTGAAGTCCATGTTGCAGGTCTGAAAACCGAGCCAGATAAAAAGAAGCCATGGGGTACTGCAAACCAGAAACAGTCCGGTTCCCGCTGGTTGCTTGCTAATGGAATGGGGAAAAGCAATAAGCATCCAATTATGAAGTCAAAAGCTGCTCCAAAATCTTCTGGTCCAGCAACAACAAAGGTTCAACCTGGTGATACCTTGTGGAGCATCTCAGCACGCGTTCATGGTACTGGAGAAAAATGGAAGGAATTGGCAGCACTAAATCCGCATATAAGGAACCCCAATGTTATTTTTCCGAATGAAACTCTCAGATTAAGCTGAGTGGTTGGTGAATCTCAAGGTGAATTTCAATTTTTGAATCGGTTAGTGCTTTTGACCTTGTCATTACACAGCTGGGTTGTCGACTAATCTTGTAGTCACATGAACATAGACATAGTTGACCGATAGACAAGATGAGATGAAGGGGAAAAGGTTGTGTTGTATCGTCGTCTTTCTGTTGTAAATCCATGTTATGTGAATACAGGCTTGCAAGCATTGTAATGTATGCCCGTCTGAAGGCGCTGTGTTCAATTCACAGCCGTCGGCAGGTGATATTTGTGTGCGAAAGTGTCGTAGCTGTTCTTGGACCTTACTTGCAGAAATATTCAGAAATGCGGTTTGTGGTGTGCGCTTGTTGGATTCGTTTGAGGGAAGTGAATAGGAGTTTTGATCATCGTGTTTATATTTTTTATTTCCATTCCTCTTTCACTCAATTGTCCCTTTATGCAACGGTGTATGAGTACTCTAATTTACAAGAAGGATGATTAGAACTTGGGTGCAAGGGTCCGAGACCCGAAGAAGGAAGGCGAAAACAAGTTTTTAGTCCATATACCTTGTCCATGTATGTTCAATAGCATCGAATTTGGTCAATGTAGTCTGCAAACTTTTCCAATCCGACGACGTCCTTCAATTTCCGTTTATTTCTATAAAACTACAAGACTTTTTATCCAAAATAGTTCATGAGATTTGCATAACTCCTCACTTTAGTTCCTGAGATTTGAAATCAATAGAATTGATCCCTGAATTTGTCCACTATCAATAATTTTGGTCATTCCTTGAAAAATCTCCATTAAATAAGAATAGAATGACCAAAATACTCTTAATTTTTGTCAAAACATTTTGGCCCATTGTTTATTAAATTGAGGTATATTTTTCATTTTGATCCTTATGTAACATAATTTTGCACGGAATGACCAAAATGATTGATAGTGGACAATCTCAGGGGACCACTTCTATTGATTTCAAATCTTAGGGACCAAAGTGATGTGTTATGCAAATCACAGGGATCATTTTAGCTAAAAAGCCAAACTACAAAGACATGTAATAGAAAACAAATTATATGGACAAAAGTGAAAATCTAATAACTTGCGAGGATTGGTGTTGCAATTTAGCCAAGGAGGTCATTTAGGGCACCCAAATATTTATAGGTGGGCTTTTAGGACATTTGCAAACATTAGGATCACATCCAAAGGTCTTACAACATTTTCCTTAACTTCCACACTAAATATTTCACGAAAATCCTGCTCGGTGGGTGCAACAAGATGCGATCTCCACCCACGAAAAAAACAAGACGGGCTCGACGCACACAAACGAGGCAGCCTTGGACGCACGGGTCAACCATTGTTGCATGTACGAACCAATTGTGTTGGGAGTAAGGCATTTATAGGAGGTAGGGTTTAGTTTAATTCCTATGTGTTAGTCATGGTTTCCCGTACAAACCATAAGTAGTGGGGGCTGAACATTTATAGGGGTATGTTTAATTTTAATCCCACGGTTCGATTGTTGTTGTCTGAATAAAGCATTGGTGTTGGGGGTGGGCATTTATAGGCAGCTATCAATAGGGGTAGGGTTTTGTTTTAATCTCAAGGGTCAACCATGGTTGACCGGACGAAGCATTGTTAAGGGGGGGATGTGGCATTTATAAGCTTCTATTAACCATGATAGAATTCACACTAAAGTCATAAGTTTTAAATAAATAAATATCTCTGCCGTGGGAGAAATTCGAGTGCGCGAGCACTGAAACAGGTTGAACTTAGAGTGTATTATTAATACGCCCCTAAACACTTGAACTCAAGGTGTTACTATTCACACACCCTTAAACCCTAAACCTCATGGGCCTCCACGACTTCTGCTGTGCCTTGGCCATTCCCAAGGGCATGAGTTTGGGCTGCGTCTCCCTACGCCTAAACCATTAATTTTATTTATTTTATGTTTTATTGTTGTTAAATTTTTGTTTTTCCCATACCACAACATCAAACTATCATCTTCGTATTCTACAAAACGTATTTTTGATGAAATTTTTTCTTATAATCAATGTTAAAAAATTTGAAAACAAGAATATAAATATAAACCTAAATCTAAAGGTTTTTGAATCTGAATAAAGTAACGTAGGAAGAAAAAAAAATCAATGGAAAGAGAGGAAAAAAAATAGAAAAGTATACGATCGGTAGTTCTTTACTGATTCTCTAACACAAAAGTCGCTATATTTACAGTGACATCCTGAAATTCATGTCGCTAGAAAAAAATAGAAAAGTACACGATCGGTAGTTTCTTACCGATTATTTTCGAAAAAAGTCGCTATATCTATAGTGACTTATCCCGTTTAAAGTCGCTATGTTTACCTCGACTCTCCTCAAGCCATGTAGCTAGCTTCATACCGATCCCCACCTTCAATTTTTTTTCTTTTTCAGTTTATTTATTTATTCTTTTGGTTAATTTTTCTTTTATTTCTCTTATCATAACAAAAAATTATCATATTCATGTTCTTCAATATATATATTTTTTGTGAAAAATCTATTATAATTCATATTTAAACACTTGAAATCAACAATTAGAACGTAAATTTAAAGATATTTTTCTATTTTTCAACTTTAAAAATCAATAAAAAATACTTCTGGAACCTAATAAACAGTAGGATCACGTCTAAAGGTCTTCCAATAATTTTCTTAACTTTGACGAAAAATATTTCCTAAAACTAAACATTTCAATTTTTTTCACAAAAAATTGTGAGTTATAACCCATAGTTTTCCAATCGATTTTGAGAACTTTTATAACATTCGTGGTAAGTCAAAGTTAGAGTCACTCGCACAACATGTTTCCTAAATTTAATTTAGATTTTGGACACCAATTCTTGGTGTTGTTAACCGAGTCCTGAGTCAGCTAAATCCAAATAGAGAGATTTTACATTTCATCAATTTAAGGATCTTTACTACGGATGAGTCAAATAAGGATATTCACTCAGGAGAAGTTTATAAAAAGAACTAATTTCCATTAAGTATCTTCTTACAGAGTATACACACATAATTATAGGCTGAGGAGGAACTCTCCCAAACCTTTCGTAAAACTATCAGGGGACAAGAGACATCTTCCTCTTTTGTCCATTACATACGTAAGATACGGATGAATCTCTTTTACATCAATCAACTTTACAATACTCTAGATGAGATTCCTTAATTTACAACATATCAATTACTATTATATGATTCCTTATGTTTGGTTGTCACGTCTTGACTTGTCCCCATCCACCACGCTTCCACATGCTTTAGTCTCATCCATCATTAGGTCAATATTCATCATCGAGTTCATCTAAGTCATCATATCTTCCCCATGAGTATTGTTAATCCCAAAATAACTGTTATTGATTCATGTTGCCATGTGTGTAGCTGTGGTGAGCTTCTTGGAGTTATATGGACGAAAGTGAAAATTTGATAACTTGCGGGGACTGGTGTTGCAATTTAGCCAAGGAGGTCATTTAGGGCAGCCAAAGTTTTATAGGTGGGTTTTTAGGGCATTTGCAAACATTAGGATCACATCCAAAGGTCTTACAACATTTTCCTTAACTTCCACACTAAATATTTCACCAAAATCCTGCTCGGTGGGTGCAATAAGATGCGATCTCCACCCACGAAAAAAACAAGATGGGCTCGACACACACAAACGAGGCAGCCTGGACGCACGGTCAACCATTGTTGCATGTACGAACCAATTGTGTTGGGAGTAAGGCATTTATAGGAGGTAGGGTTTAGTTTAATTCCTATGTGTTAGTCATGGTTTCCCGTACAAACCATAAGTAGTGGGGGCTGAACATTTATAGGGGTATGTTTAATTTTAATCCCACGGTTCGATTGTTGTTGTCTGAATAAAGCATTGGTGTTGGGGGTGGGCATTTATAGGCAGCTATCAATAGGGGTAGGGTTTTGTTTTAATCTCAAGGGTCAACCATGGTTGGCCGGACGAAGCAATGTTAAGGGGGGTGTGGCATTTATAAGCCTATGTTAACCATGATAGAATTCACACTAAAGTCATAAATTTTAAACATAGTAACCCCATCTTAAAATAAATAAATAAATTTCTTTGCCGTGGGAGAAATTCGAGTGTGCGAGCACTGAAACAAGTTGAACTTAGAGTGTATTATTAATACGCCCCTAAACACTTGAACACAAGGTGTTACTATTCACACACCTTTAAACCCTAAACCTCATGGGCCTCCACTACTTCTGCTGTGCCTTGGCCATTCCTAAGGGCATGAGTTTGGGCTGCGTCTCCCTACGCCTTAACCATTAATTTTATTTATTTTATGTTTCATTTTTGTTAAATTTTTGTTTTTACCATACCACAACATCAAACTATCATCTTCGTATTCTACAAAATGTATTTTTGATGAAATTTTTTCTTATAATCCATGTTAAAAAAAATTTGAAAACAAGAATATAAATATAAACCTAAATCTAAAGGTATTTGAATCTGAATAAAGTAATGTAGGAAGAAAAAAAAATCAATGGAAAAAGAAAAGAGAGAAAAAAGAAATAGAAACGTATACGATGGGTAGTTCCTGACTGATTCTCTTCCTTAAAAGTGGCTATATTTATAGTGACATCTTGATATTTAAACACTTTTTTTTCATACCGATCCCCACCTTCAATTTTTTTTCCTTTTCAGTTTATTTATTTATTTATTCTTTTGGTTAATTTTTCTTTTATTTCTCTTACCATAACAACAAATTATCATATTCATGTTCTTCAATATATATTTTTTTGTGAATAATCTATTATAATTCATATTTAAACACTTGAAATCAACAATTTAGAACGTAAATTTAAAGATATTTTTCTATTTTTCTATTTTTCAACTTTAAAAATCAATAAAAAATACTTCTGGAACCTAGTAAACGGTAGGATCACGCCCAAAGGTCTTCCAATAATTTTCTTAACTTTGACGAAAAATATTTCCTGAAATTAAAAATTTCAATTTTTTTCACAAAAAATTGTGAGTTATAACCCATAGTTTTCCAATTGATTTTGAAAACTTTTACAACATTCGTGATAAGTCAAAGTTAGAGTCACTCGCACAACATGTTTCCTAAATTTAATTTAGATTTTGGACACCAATTCTTGGTGTTGTTAACCAAGTCCTGAGTCAGCTAAATCCAAATAGAGAGATTTTACATTTCATCAATTTGAGGATCTTTACTAAGGATGATTCAAATAAGGATATTCACTCAGAGAAGTTTATAAAAAGAACTAATTTCCATTAAGTATCTTCTTACAGAGTATACACACATATTTATAGGCTGAGGAGGAACTCTCCCAAACCTCTCGTAAAACTATCAGGGGACAAGAGACATCTTTCTCTTTTGTCCATTACATACGTAAGATAAGGATGAATCTCTTTTACATCAACTTTACATACTCTAGATGAGATTCCTTAATTTACAACATATCAATTACTATTATATGATTCCTTATGTTTGGTTGTCACGTCTTGACTTGTCCCCATCCACCACGCTTCCACATGCTTTAGTCTCATCCATCATTAGGTCAATATTCATCATCGAGTTCATCTAAGTCATCATATCTTCCCCATGAGTATTGTTAATCCCAAAATAACTGTTATTGATTCATGTTGCCATGTGTGTAGCTGTGGTGAGCTTCTTGAGTTATATCATGGATGTGTATGTCATTTGCAACATGTGCTCCATAAAGGGGGGCAAGTAATTTTAGTGGACAGTATGAAGACTCATCCTTGAGTCTTTGATACGGATTCAAAGAAGCTCCACTAAAATTGACGTCACCATCCATGAGTTTTTGATATCAAATATTTATTGGATGGTGACGTTAATTTTTGGTTGCATGAAAGAATCTCTCATCCTAGAAGACGAAGCATAACCTTGATGTACTAGCATAAGAGTTTTAAATCCATTTGTTTCAAGAAATAAACTTCGATATAACTATTTGACTAAGAGATGGGAGTTTGCGCTTGCAAAGTCCAGAGTCAATGACACGAGACTGACTGCAAATGAGTTTCCACAACGCGCGTTGCAAGCACCACCTTCCTAGTTCTAGCGCTAGCTAGCGCTAGAACTTGGAAGCAGCACCGCTAGCGCTAGAACTAGGAAGCAGCACCTCCTCCTCCTTCCCCATTTGGATACATTGGAATTGGACAGGGACACCAAACGATGCGAGGACGGGGACTCAAACTTGGGTTCAGAAGGAGAGCACACTGCTCTAACCACCTTGGCTAAACCTAGATTTGCTACTGAAATCTCTTCTTTGTAAAGAATAAATGTGGGTTTATTATTTAGTTGTTATAGTTATTAAGGATAATTGTGGAAAGATAATTTTGTGTTTTCAAAACTAGGCTCTGTAACAAGCCGAGTCAAATCAAATATCACTCTAGCTTGTTTAACTTTTTTTTAGCTCAAGCATCAAGCTAGGGTTGGAAGAAATTTTGGAAAGATCGTTCCTACTTGAAATCCAAAACCTCGGAGTTCCACTAGAATTTACCCAAGACTTTCAATAACTTTTGCTTTCGGAATCAAAAACTTTACCCTCTCACATTGGGTTGTACTAGCTTAAAATCGACTCAACCAAAACTATAAAAATCTCGTACTTTTATGAGAAGTGCCCTAAGAATTACCCTCTTACCTTGTATTTCTTTATTAAGCAGAACCTAGCCAGATAAAAAAGAGAGGAAATGGCAGAAAATAATGAGAGCAAAAAATCAAAATTATCTCCAAAGAATATCTTCTTCGAGTCTAGTATCCCTCAAAATTTACAAGGATGGCAGATAGAACACAAAATACAGAACAGCATGCCATCTCCGAGCCACGAAGATTCGTGACCTGCACAATTTGAAGGACAGCATTCAATATACTGCCATTAACAGAGGAATAGTTGTACAAGAACGGAAAGTTTACCCCTCCAACTCAAATCATCATACAGTAAAGGCTTCAACTGCAATATCATCATCCAAATTTGTTGCTAGGAGACTAATTTGACACCCAGTATCAGAACCAGATACCACGCCCGGATTAATGAATTTAGTGTTAAACACATCCGCAATACTGCAATGACGAGTTCTGTGTTGTGAAGCGATAAAAGAGCGAGAGCTGTTCACTTTAATCCTCGGTTCTCACCTCTTCGAGTTCAAGTTCATCATCAACGTTAGATGGCTCCACATGTTTTGGCTTAATATAACCATACTTTCTGAGAATCCATAGATTCATACGAATAACATTGCCAAAGAAAACAACCACCATTAAAGTCAACCATGTCCAACCTGATATCTCGGTTACCTTACGTAACAGGATCTGCACATGTTCGTCATTAGGTGACATTTGACGGAAAGAGATGAAATATGTTGCTACTAGAGTTGTGACAGCAACCCACATTATGACCATTTGTATCCACATCCATCTCCTCCGTCTGATAGGTAGCCCGCTAACGAGCAGAAGAATTATGCTCAGGGATGCGAGGAAAGAGATTGTGTTAAAAATCATTACTAGACCATATTCTTTTCCCTGCTTATATGCCATGACAGATGTTCCTACGGTGTGAGGATTCTCCACAGGGTTGCCATTTTCATCGACTTGCAGGTCATCCTGCCAAACACCTCCCGGAGGGGTTATCACAGCTTGGAAGGCAACAGTTGCAAGGAGAGATGCCACCACCATCAATGAACTTCTCTTCCTACCAAGCCAATCAGTAGGCTTCTTGTTCCCACCCGGTTTCATAGACTCACTCACTTTCGAGGACAGTGCTAAGCCTCGATGTCTTAGTATCTGACGTTCTTTAGTTGGAGCGCGAACCCAGTCGTGCTCAATGTTACGTATATCCCTTGCACTCTGAGCCCCAGCACCTCGAAGGAAATCCTCAATCTCCATATCCCTCAAATCTCTAGGACTCTGCATCAGAATGTCTAAAGCCGTAGCGCTGTTTGCATTCAACGCATTCACATTCACTCCAGTTTCAAAAAGCAAGAATTTGATAATCTGCACAAATTCAAAACACCACTTTAGTAAAGAAAATGAAACCAACACACAAATTCAGTCCCCTTAAGAGATGTATAATCATGTACAGGAAGTATTTATCAAACACTCAGCAGTAGTTTTGAAATGCTACATCTTTATGTTTCTGATATGAACTCGAGTTGAAAATTAAAATGCCTTTCGCCTTGGTATGATTGGAATGGATAAGTTTCCGTCATGCCTTTTGCCTCGGTATGATTGGAATGGATAAGTTTACGTCATGACTAATACATGTTCTACCTTCAACTCCGACAAGATTTGAAATCGACTATCCATTTCTTGCATCGACATACATTGAACCTAGTGAATTATTCAATCCGGACAACGAACCAAGCCTAAAGGTAGCTAGCTAATATCAGTAGCGCTTGAGCGTTAATCAGTTAGTAAGTTAATATGATTAATTATTGTGTACCTCGATTAACTTCTTGGCCACGGCAATATGCAAAACGGTGTTACCATCACAATCCTTCCAATTCATAAACTCATCATCATTCCCAACTGCCTCAACCAAAACCTTCAACCCCTCCAACCGATTACGCCCAACGCACAAGTGCAGCGCCGTCTCGCCTCTGTCCGTCAACGCCCGAGTCCACTCACTCCCAACTCCGACCAACTCACCCACCACCTTAACCCGCCCCTTGGCAGCCGCGACGTGGAGCGCCGTCCTCCCGTCTAAGTTCCTCACCGCACACGCCCCAGGATCCGCCAGAACCAGCTCTTTCACTATCTCCACGTGCCCCTTCGCTGCCGCCAGGTGGAGAGGCGTTGACCCCTGCGAGTCTAGCTCGGAGGCCAACTCGGGGTTGCGACTAAGTAACTCGGTAACAAAAGCCAGGTGACCCAGCATTGAAGCTACGTGAAGCGGCGTCTCGGCGACGCAGGAGACTAAAACTCTGTCGGAAACAAGTGGGTCCTCTGCGATCAGATCATTAAGCGCCCCCGTATCTCCCGCCATGGCTGCATCCATAAGCTTCTTCTCCATCTTCTCCATCTTCTCCGCTCGTTTTTCTGGGTCAGCTGAAAAGTCGTCAAGCTTCAAACTTTTGCAGCCATGAAGTCGACTAATAATCAGAAATTTTTTATTACGATGGTACCACTTGTCTTTATTTAAGTGATAAAAAATTTATTTTGTAAGTTATTAATTTTTTAATTCACATATCTCATTATTTATATAATAAAATGTGATGTATTATCTTGTATTTTGATCATATTAAAAAAAAAATTATAATAATATTGAGATTTCAATGGATGTCGTAGTCTGAAAGCTGTTGCTGAATAAAGAAATAAAAGAAAACCCAAAAACAAAAATTAATATGTTTGCATACAAAAATTGACCAAAACGAATCAAAGTTCAAATTTGAATAGTATTCTAAAGAAAAAGAGGAAAGATGCCTTGCTATGGTCAAACGTCTTTAGGTGAGATGGTACGGCACTTGGGACTTTTGGAATGAAAGCTTCCAATTTTGCAAACGAGACGACTCGGAAAATTCTACGGTGTTTCGTGTACGTTGTACTTTGAAGTCTTTTACGGTTAATATTTAGTCATTAAATCTTTGATTAAGAATTTTACAGATAAAATTTCAATGTGTAATAAGTATTTTTATTCGTGTTTGATTCTTTTTCATTTTTATACATAACGTCGAGCGTTACGTATGAAAGAAATCCTGGCACCTCTTCCATTCGTCATTCCACTCACTTTTTGACATTACAGATAAAAATCGTATACAGTACCAAGAACAAGTAATCGTCGACTTGAGAGGCACATGAGATACGCAGTTTAAAACCTTGCGGTCTTGCTCGGGCAATTTCCCTAAGAGCTCCGAAGAGAATGTCAGTCGAGAGCGCTCTCTCGTGTGCGCCGTCCACCATCACGGCACTGTAGCTCTGCAAATCTGCTTCTTCCCCATCGATTATTTCGCCCAGCAACACCGCTTTCGTCATGTATTTGATCACCGAGACATCTTCTTCTTCTTCTTCTTCTTCTTCTTCTCCTTCTTCTCCATTACTAGTTTGCTATTAGTAGTATTTTCAGAAGACAGTAGTGGTTTATCAACATCCTCAAAATTAAAGGCTTTTCCTAGGATTCCATCAAGACCCCTAAACCCTAGTTAAGCAAACGATACAGGGACGGGGACTCAAACTTGGGTGTAGAAGACGAGCACACTGCTCTAGGCACCTTGGCCAAGCCCATGTTTGCTTTTGAAGTTTCTTCTTTGTCAAGAATACACGTACGTGGGTTCATTATTTTCGTTTTTATCGTTATTAAGGATAATTGTTGGAAAGACAGTTTTGTATTTTCGGAAATAGGTCTGTAAACAAGCTGGGTCAAATCAAATATCGCTTTGGCTCATATAACTTTTTTGAGCTTAAGCTAGGCTTGGAAGAATCTTTCCTGCTTAGAATCCAAAACCTTGGAGTTCCACTGGAATTTACCGTCAGAGTTTCAGGAACTGTTGCTTTCGGAGAATCAAAAACCTTAACCTCTTACCGCAGTAAGAACAAGCAGATGATGAATCTGGTAAAATGCATCAGATAACAAATATCAGATTTTGAAATTTGACAGGCTAATTTAGGGCCATTAGCATTTGACAGAACTGCATAAAATAGACATAGCATCCCCGTTTATAGATCCTACTAATTACGAGACATTAACATCATCCAAGTAACAAGATCACGAAGAACAAAGTACTAAGTAGAAGGGTTATGCCACCATGGCTCACACGCCGATACCTTTACTACGTAGTCAGCTTAACTCTATCCAACATGAACTACTTACAAGGGGGGCGGACGCACAAACCCCCCATTGTAATTTCAAGGCCGGACTCTCTTGTTGCTGCATGACGGGCACTTGTAGTGCTTGATGTGCTCAGCTCTGGCAGGGGTTATCTTCACGCATTTTCCATGGAACCACTTCTCACATATGTCGCAGCAAATCCAGAATTCATCAGCAGCATAGCTCTCCCCACATGCACCACAGACAGTCTCGCCGTGCTCATCATCACCTTCCTCATCCAGACCCTCGTCCTCATTCTTTGGCATTGCTTTTGCATATTTGACCGATTCAGAGCCTCTCTGTTCTCGGATGGAGAATTGGCAGCAGAAACAGGTATTTAATAACCAATGTAAGATAAACCCGTTACAAAACACAGAGAGAGAGATCACTAATTAAATCGTTTTTCTAGTTGATCATATAGAGTCATAGACATATAAGAAAAATTCATTTTACCCCTTTAGAGCTTGACTTAGGCCTATGGATGCTGTTATTTGAAACTGATGACTTCTCCTTTGACTGTCTCTTTTCAATGCCCGCCACAACCTCGAAGATAGATGGCAGATCATTCATCAGAGTGAAGAGACGTTTCCTGCATCAAAATTTGTAATGAACCTAGTTTTCAACCCTCTTCAGAACTTATAACAACTTTGTTTCTTGAGATTTGAAAACACTAACAATAGGCAAAAGATCAACGAGCAACAACAAGAGCAACTTCAAAACAACCTTATTTTCTTGCAAATAGAAATAAAAGCATCAGACATACGCAAGAAGGGAGATCTGCACACCTTTCAGTCTTGTCAAAACCGAATCTGGCACCAAAGTAGAAAGCCACTGAAAGCAACCATGCGTCGCTGTGCACAGCTACCAGAGACAACCAGTCCCTTTCTTGCATTCCATCTCGGGCAAAGTTGATGCCCAAAGCAGGTTCCGGGAGCTCTGGAGGAACTTCTTCAGCAGGTAGATTAACTTCCCATTCTTCGTTCGGGAATCCATACAAACAAAGATTCTCCTTTTCTGAAACATTGACCAATCAATTACCAATTGGTTAAATTATCAAGCAGTATCTTAAGTACATTATCCAAATCCCACAACGATCTTCCATTTCCGATGATTAAAACAAGATAAAAAATGCAAGTGAAGGCTCTTTTTAGCAGTTCACTACAGGCAGGATCCAATCAAATACAACAAAGTCTAACTTGATCCGAGTTGAATGACCCCGGAAGGTAGGTTTTTGAAACGCGGTTACGAAATCAATACTCTCACTCAAACAAGGAAACCACACAAATTCCATGTCAATCATGTCATGTAAAAATGATCAACGAAAAACGAAACAAGAGCAAGCCAACGGGACAACCTAAGCATTTAAAAAGGGAGTTCGATACCAGTTTATTTCCCCGCCCCTTAGTGTAAATATATCGTTTGTATCAAAAAGACAAAATGGAGGGGGAGAATTAAAAGGTTCAAGCTACAAAACTATAAAAAGCAGCTATATTCTGCAGATACAAAGTTAGAAAAAGCAATAATTTTACATATTAATAATTTATAGTGACGCAAACCCAATGCATAGGCATTCTAGGATTCATACCCTCGACTCAGGATAAGGCTGTAATAATTTACAGTAAAAAAAAAAAAACAGATTAATAAAATTGCAAGGCCATGGAGACAAGGGAAAACAGTAATTAACCAGAAAAATTGACAAAATAAAAAAATAAAAAATCAGAAACATAGAGAGAGAGAGAGAGAGCACTCACCAGGATCACATTGCTGGTAAAAACGCTCAACATCTGCACCAAAATAAATAAATAAATAAATAAAGTTAGAAAAATCACGAAAGCATTTAGAATGTGCAGAAATAACAGGAAATTGGAAAAAAAAAAAAAAAGGTTAAAAAAAAACCCTAACTAAACGCCAAAATATGAAGTGACAACAGTTAGAATTAAAAAAAAAGAAAAAAAAAAAAGAAAGAAGAGAGGGAGACCAGTGGTGAGAGCTTTGATCAAGCCGGCTCGACGGCCCTTGAAGTCGGTGAAAACCTCCTCCACAGTGCGGGGGCTGTACGGTGCTATTCCTCCTTCTACTTCCATCACCATCTCCGTTCACTCTCCTCTCTCTCTCTCTCTCTCTCTCTCTCTCCCTCCCTCCTGAGAGCGAAATTGACTAATTGAGCTTTAGTAACTAGCAAAGAAAATTTAAGAAAGCAGGGGGGAAGGTGGGGGTAGAATCGTATTTGGCTGGAGTAGCCGAATCGTAATTACCGATTTATTTATTTTATTTTATTTTATTTATGGAGGAGGGACGGCGCAGAAAGAGAAGCCATAAAATCCCAACCGTATATTTGTTTATTTATTGGTTTTGGTAAATTAAAAAACCAGCAAAACCCAATAAATAATATAAATAAAATTTTGTTTTCTTAAAAAAGGAATTTTGACACGTGGTTACGTGAAATTGGCAGGAGCTGTTCATTAAAAACGGTGGTCCCCATTTTAATTTCCCAATCGTTTGGATCCGCGAAGGTGATTGGACCACGGATTAGTGGGTCCTATGTTTACCTGTGGGACAGTGGGATTAGAGGGGCCATCCACGCGTCGTGATTTGGACCGGAAGATCTTGGACTAGAGCTCGTTTGGTACACGGTGGATAGAAGGGGAGGAACACCTCCGTGACCGTCGGCTGGCATTGAGGACTCATTGCGTTCATGAATCAGAACTTGGAATTGACAAATATATCCCTACCAAAATAGAGAATATTAAGGCTCAGCGATATTGGAAGGAGTAATCGAACATAGAACCTCAGATGAGGGGTAAATAAAACCTAACTTATTTAGATAGACGACGCCAAATTTCATCAAAGCGTATGTGGATACAGGGGAAGAATTTGTTATGATCAAATTCGGTTTGCTTCATTTGTTTCAGCAACTACAGGGGAAGAATCCAGTTTTCCGGCAATGAAGCCGATTTTAGAAGCTCTGCTTGGTGTACGATCAAAACAATGCACATAATCTCAATCGCATCGTAACCGAAAATACAAAAGACTCAAATCACATTGCTCGCCTGAGACTCAAATTAAATCAGTAAAAGGTATCAAATAGGCCACTCCGAAGCCACTCACTACTATGGTCTGGTGGTATTCCTCTATAAACCAAACAATTTTCAAAGCAACATTTGTCCCAACGGACCACAAATGAGATACAATACAAAGTTACAAACGGTTCGGTGCACCAACTCGACATATACATTTAGTGACTTCTTATTTCATACAATGGGTCAGTAAGAACGGGGATTAGGCATTGAGCGTGTATGTCAGAAGTCATATAGTATATCCCAAGGCATTCACATTTTCTCCGAATCTGTCTCAAGTTCATAAACCAACAAAAAACCTTCGACAGGGAAAACCTGAACAGGTGCAGCAGGTCCTTGTAGAGCGACTCCTCAAAGCGAGCTTCCAATTGCTGCAGCTTCAAAAAAAAAGGTACAGATTGTGTTGAGTGAAGAGCCAATCAGATTGCTTGAAGAAGTCTAAAATCCATCCAATCACTTTGCCCCCACATCTGAGAGTGGAGGAAGAGAAGTAAGAATTGAGAAGCATGGGAGAAGGCAAGCACAAAAGAATGCTCAAAGATGTCTAAAATCCACCCAAATCACTTTGCCCCCACATCTAGGATAACTGACGAATGTAAATAATGTAATCGAAAAACAGTATAAGGAACTTCCATCCTTCAGCTCCACAAAATATAGTGTGTTTGAGAAGTAACCCGCCACAGTGGTACACAGTCAAACAATTACGTAGTCTCAACCAGAAATCAATAGGCGGTAGGCCCACATCCATTCCAAGTTAATCCTTGAATTACATAGTTCAGTATGTGAAAAATGATCCAATATGAACTTTCCCACTCTGTTCATAATTCTTACAAATTTATTATCTTATTGAGTGTCCTTTTCCTTCATTCAACTTTTGTGTGTGCCCTGTATGTGTGTAAAGAATTTGGAAGACTCCATTAACCAAAACTTACCGCTATTACTGTGAGAGGATTCATCATCTTTTTTCGCTGGAACATGTTGTTGAAGAAACTCCTGGACCGTTCTCCAATAATCGTCACCACCAGCAAGCCAAGTATCCATATGCATGCCAGTGGGAAATTCCACAAAAACACACTGCTTATTATGGGCAGCTGCTTTGGCATACAGCATTTGTAAATGGGATGGAGGAATCATCTCATCTTGCAAGCCGGATAGAAAGAGGATTGGCTGCTTAACCTGCATTTAGATAGTCACACGTGAGGGACAGAACATTAAAGTAATGACAGAAGAAATGTGTCTCCTCGCATTTTGTTGATCTTGAGGCGATTGCTGTTTAGAAAGGGTAGTTTTTTACATCTTTCATGTTTTATTGTTACTAACATTTGCTGAAATGCAATACTGGTGCAGGTTTTGTTGAAAACTTGACTTAAAATACGGTTATTTCAACCAGATATCCTGTGTAGGATCAAGCATGGACCAGTACAATCAGAAAACTTGAATATGTAGAAAATTGAAAAAGACCGACGATAAAAGTCTACCATATGTTTCAGGTTTTCATGTCTAATTGCAGGGTCAAACAAGAAATTCTACCACCAAGAAAGCTCACCTCACCAATGACATCAATTGTACTCCAAGGAGAACGTACGAGAAAATTAAGTACTTTAGGACCTTTTGAACCACTGCCTCCAATGAACCACTTCAAGAAAGGAAATAAAACTCCAGCCAAGTCCAAAACAGATGTGAAAGTGTTTTCCAGTATCAGTGCAGCAACCTACAATGCATAAGCATAGAAAAACTATCGCAGCCTACCAACTCAAAATATAAAATTTAAGTACCTTAAATGGTGGCGAAATTTGCAATACTCGAAGGAAGTGAAAAACATTAAGTTGCAACAGATTTAATAGAGTGATACCTTATCAGGGTTGTTTTTCGCAACCACAGCTCCAACTGCACCCCCAAGTGACCTTCCAAAGACAACTATTCTAGATGTGTCAATGTCAGTCCTCTGCGATAGGTGATCCAATGCAACCTAACAGAAAGAAAGAAAGATAAGTATAAAACAGCGCTGAAACATGAAAATAAGAGTAGAATCATCATACAACTGTAAGTGAATAGCATACCTGAGCATCTTTTATGATCCCGTGCTGAGAAGGATATCCTTCACTTGCTCCATAACTGTTGTTTATATAGATGAAAACTAGCATGAAATAATAGTATAATACTATTGGTATACATAAAATAGCCCAACTTTTCTTTCCAACCATCACATATCACTCAAATTAAGCTGGTTTCAAGATAACAAAGCAACAAGAAAAAACCCGCACATACCCTCGATATGAAAGCATAAACACGTTGCATTGCAGTTTTTGTAACATTATGTGGACCATTTCAAGACGATGAGCAATATCTGCAGGCCAGTGGTCAAGGCCAATAAAGCAAAAAGAACCCCCAATTCCCCATTAAGTTCATGAAAGTTACATGTAAACCCGAATGAAAAACCACGAAAAACAACACACGATGTTAATGTCCTAATTATAGTAACAAAGTCAACGACTATTCATAAAGAAAAGGATACTTCCAGCATTTTCTTGGAAAAACAATAGGGTTGGACCTGCAAAGCAAGCAAAGTAACTTTAGAAGCCCTCAAAGAACATCAGAATCTTACAATCACAGCTGTGCCTTGAGTTCTAAGAAATACTGAAAAACTCGAAGGTAGCTCAAAATAACAGTTTAATTTTTGAAGTAAACACCTAATTACTTGTAATTAAGACGAATTATATACAAAATGAATAGGGATTACTGTGTGGAACGCATGCATTTCTAGTGAGCTGTAGGCTAAATTAACAAAAACAAACACAATTCGCTAGCTGGTTTGAGTAATTCACTAAGCCCCATAACCAACGAAACCCTAATTGTTTCAGCAAAACCAAAAACCCAAATCCAATTCAGCAGAATTCAGAGCTCATCCAAATCAAAACAAAACATGAAAGTGAAAAAAGAATCGGGTATGGAGAAGCGGATCGGACCTCGGCAGAGGGGGAAGAGCTTGATGAACCAAGCGTGGAGGCGAACGCCGTCGGAGGACTGGAGCCAGACGTCCTCGTAAGTGAGGTGGAGGCGGGCGGGGGTAATCGGGTAGGACTTGGTGAGACCCGGCAAGACGGGGACGTAGACGAGGCGCTCCTGGAGGGCGACGAGCAATGCCATGCCGGCCACCACCAGGCCTCCCACTCCATAGATCAGCGCGCTCACGTACGACACCATGGCTGCTGGGTGTGTGGAGCTTTTTGCCGGGTTTGGTTTTTCGGGTTGTTCTAATCTCCAGCTCCTTCTTTAACCATCTGGAAAGTGCAAAGTGGAAAACTGAATTGTCGTGAGAATTGAATTTTTGCGGGTTGAAAATTCTGGATTTTTTTAAGAAAAACTAATGATTTGAAAACTTTAAGGGTGAACGATAAAGATAAAATAAAAAGTAAAGTGAATAGTATCAGATTTGATTTTTTAGTGTAAAAATGTGATTTTTCGTTAAAGTGAACAGTACCGTGGGATTTTCGTTAAAATTTCTATTTTTTTAAAACGATGATAGGGCCTGTCGCTTGGTTTGCAACTATACTATGATATTTTCTGTAGTACTTCATGGTCTCGAAATTTTGTCGGTCAGTCGAAAACACGTTCCAAAACATGTGTTATAATATAATTAGTTGAATTTACTTTTAAAGTTTCTAATTATATGAACATACTTGCCATATAATACTACGGTCTAATAGTATTCATCTTCACTTGTAAGTGAGAAGTCTTAGGTTCGATTCTCGCCAAAGATGAATTTGAATCATATTATTGCTAGCTCATTGTAAGGTTAAGCTCATATCCTCCCCTTAATGTAAAAAAAAAAATTATCATTTGTTCAAAAAAAAAACATACTTAATAAACCAAGCCGTGCTTCTGGCACATTTAAAACTCTCTCCATGGTCAAATACTTCAAAATTTTTATGCTTTTTTTTTTTTTTGTCAAAACTAGAAAATCAAGGTCTAACGCTTAAACTGAACAAAACCAAAAAAATCAAGATTTAACGGTTGAGAAATTCAATCAGAAGCACCATAGAATTGACCTAGGTCAAGCCAAGTTAGTAAAGTACTAGTAAATTAGAGTAATTTAGGGCTTATTTGGTATATTTCTTAAGTTCAACTTTTTTAACTGAAAAACACTTTTTGAATTTTAAGTGTTGAATTCTTGTTTGGTAAGATTCTTAATAAAAATTGAATTCAAAACTAACTTAAAAACATATGTTATTTCTTAAAAATACTAAAAATGAGTTTTTAGAGTTTTTTCTGCTTTCTTCTCAACATCTTTTTTTTTTGCTCTCTCTCCTAACCCTTTCTTTTTGAATTTTTTCTCTCCAAACCCTCTGTCCTATCTCCCCATGTCACATCCTATCCTCTCTCTCTCTCTCTTCTCAGCCTTTGTCTCATCACCCTCTCTTTCTTATCACTCCTCACCTTCTCACTGTAATTTTTTGCTCTCTCCCTCACCTTCACCTCCTCGCCCTCTCCCTGTCTTTTTCTCTCCTCACCAACTATTTCCTCTCTCCTCCAATTTCTACTCATGGTAGTTTGAATTCAAACCAAAAAATTTATTTTCAAAAACTCAACCAAATTGATTTTTGAAATTTTGAGATTTAAAAGAAAATTATTTTTAAGGGATGTTATTTGAAAATTATTTATAAGAACAAAGTTTTTGGATAGGATATCAAATGGACCCTTAGTTTGTCAAATTATTTGGGAAAAAATAATTCGATACCAAATACCATCATGATACATTAGCGACATTTTGTCGAGGAGAATCCTTGGCTCCGTACGTGTAAAGAAAATTACTTAAATTAAACATCAAAAAGAGTAATTTGGAATTGTTCTCTTACAGACAAATCACAGCTTCGCGTAAAGAGTAATGAAATGGGTGCGAGTCCCAGGTAAGGAATTGTTCCGAGAATGCTTCAGCATCAAGTTATCAACTTTTAACCCAGAAAAACATTATCATCCAAACTTTTTTAACCCAAATAAATATATAAATAAAACATCCATCATCTGCAAGGAACTTGCCACACAAATGTAAAGTCGTACATATCGGAATCGAATCAAACCAAACCGTTCTTTCGCGACATTCACGACGCGCGACGCAGTGCTTAGTCGATTTGAATCAAACACAATCTCATAACATCAAGGTTAACAGCCTAGACTTAGAACAATAGGGAACACATATGAAACCTACGAGATTACAGCATCTCTAGATGCCACCATTTTGTTAGAAGCACGAAGGGTGGAATGTCAAGTGAGAAAAGCCAAGGATGAATTGCCTAACCGGTGAGAACAGGACGGTCTTGTTTGCGCTGACCTCTCACCGGACAACAGAAGCACAGTGCTGGTTTCCAGCACGCATAAACCCGCCAGGGAACTGCATTGCTCCAGTCATATGGGGAGGGATGCCTGAGAACCTGCGATCTGGTTGCTGAAAGTTGTCATTGGTGTTGGAAACACTAGTCATGTCTGAGTGGAGTGCAACACTAGGGAGGAAATCACTGCTTCCCGAGTGATTACTTTCTGTGCCCCCTGTATCTTTCTGATGTGAGTTGATGGAGTCCGAAACATGGTGGGTGTTACTGGAGGGGTTCTGGTCTGACTGCTGTTTTGTGCTGAGAAAACGTCCACCAGAGCCCCTTACCCTATTCACGGCATGAAGATGGCGAGACTCATGGAGATAAGGCTGCATTGATTTAAAAGTGACATCAAAACATGGGTTAAGGCACGGTTTGGATGGATGAAGTATCATTTGTTACACAACCGCTGATTCTCTTCCATTGACAAGGTCAGGATGAGTAACATGAGATTCTGGTGTCCAAACTAAGAACACGTACTTCCATATAGAACCAAATGCAGCAAAGGAATCAAAATGAATAATAACTCGGTAGACGTACATACCTTTCGAGCTTTGAGGAGTTTGTTATGAGCCTCCAACTTTGCACGGGACTGTCTCCTTCTGAGGATTCCGTGGTATTGTTTTGCATTGACGTAGATGGGTCCATCTTGTGCCAGATCGGGAGGCAATAGAACTCGTGTAGGTGCCATCCCAACCATATGGGACTGAATTAAGTTAAATTCCACTTATAAGCTCATAAAAGGTAGTGACAATCACAACAAATAATGAAAAACTAATTAGCATAATCTGGACGATGGCACTCAAACCAACATAAAATTGGATGTCTCCAATCAGATGCACATCTTAAGCGTTAAAACCAGCATCATTTCCTTTGACAAAATACGGTGAGAGAATATAATCGGACACCTTCTGGCAAATTAACAATGTCCACTTTAATGTAATTGTTTTCAGATATGACTGAGTGGGGGAAGCATTGTAACTACAAATCAACGGAAAATGAAAACAATGTGCTCAATAAAAACTAACCATCGCCTGTGGTCCATATGCAGTCAAGAACCCGCTGAAGTAAGGGTCGACATAAGGATATGGTACACAACCCTGGAAGAAAGAGACGCACAAATTAACATCCATCTAACAGGTTAAATTCCGGGTATAACAGCTCAACCTACCACTAAATTTCCGTGACTAACTTGAGAAGGATTCAAAATGAAATCTTGATTACTCTGCAAGAGAACTGGCTTCATGTTGCCTTCTGCATCCTTATCACATGTTTGAACTTCACCTGGGTTCAAGGGCAAGAACCACAGAAGAACTAAGTACACGAAAACAAGGGGAACACAGAATGATATACAGCTACTACACATGAACATAAAGCATGTACCATACGGAAAAAATGATAAAGGTTTTATATGACAACTATCACATAGCATTCTCTTCTTTTAAACGTAACTTTTACAATAAGATCATAAACCAGGAGTCTGTATACCAGAATCTGATGAATTGCTTGGATCTTGAGAGTGACCGATTGATTGGGTTATGGATGATGATCTGTGGTCTGTTTGTAGTTGGAGTCCTAAATGCTTTGCGCCATGATGAACTTGTGGCGGAAATTTCGCTTTGAAGCTTACATCTTTGGATAAAAGTTGTGGAACTTGTTCACTTGGATTCCACGACATGGAATTAGTATAAAGGGGCATTGCCACGGAACTCTGGTTGAAAATGTTCTTGTCCAACTTTTGAGTTGTTGGTATAGATAATTCTATCGTCGTGTCCTGAAACACATGCAAAATCGGAAAGATCCTTAATGAGGATGTAAGCACAACCTCACACTCACAGATTATCAACTACAACTAAATACATACACACACGTAATGGCTATGTATGTAAGCATACAATCGCGTTCTTCATTATAACACCTCAGCAATCACACCAATATCGCAAACAAAACAACATAAGAAAACTCACCGACGAACTGGAACTACCCAACAGATTATTCTATCCTAACCACATATTCAACACATATCAAATGATTAATATATTATTTTGGCCGGGCAGAATCCACGGCATCTCTCCTATTTCGAACCACATTTACATCAGAAAACGGCATCTCTCCTATTTCGAACCAGATGTACATCGGAAAACGAAGCATTTACAGCAAGCAAGTTGGTGTTCCTGTTTCTACCGTTTAAACGAAAAATCAGACTCCAAATACTCAGAACACGCTAAGAACACCAAGAAGTGGTTTTTCCAAGTTTATATAGATTGCAATTAATATCTCAATTACCATGTAAGGAAAAAACAAGGTTTAGAAAACCAGATCCAAAATGTCAGTAAATACTACAGAGAAATTTACATGCACTTGCAGCATCAGTATGCAACAAATTAGACCAGCAAAAACAGATCAATGGGAGATTAATCCGGAAAATTAGTAAAAGGACTTGAGATAAATAATAAAGGATGAAAATAAATAAAATTTAAATAAAAACAGAAAATATGCAGTAAATGTACAAAAATGGAAATAAAAACAAACCCAAAACAGGTATAAACCAGAAACAGGTAAAGGAGACAACTTTTCTACTTTCCCATCTTCAGAAGCACCTGCAAACAAAACTAAAAGATCTCAAAATCCACATGCAACCAGTAAATAGCAAATAGAAAGCAACCCACTTGGATTCTACACCCATAAATAATTAAAAATACCATAAAATAAATTAACCCATAAATGAACCCATAAAAGAAACTAGAAAGGCAAGAGAGAAAATGAGCAGTAGGAGAGAGAGGGAGGGGAGAGAGAGAGAGAGAGAGAGAGAGAGGGGAGAGAGAGAAGGGAAGGGAGACCTTTGGGATCTGGTAAGGGATGAATAAGCAAAGAATATAGGTGTAGGGAAGAACTTGGACATGTCTCCTTTCCTCCAACTCTGTCTAAATAAAAACCACTCTCTCTCTCTCTCTTCTTCTTCCTCCTCAAAGACTCAATCTTTCTCTCTCCTCACTCTCTCTCTCTTCAATATATTTTCCTTCTTGGGCTTTGCTGCTGTGACAACACAACACACACAAAAATCATAAATTCCTAATTGAAAGCACTTGCCACCTACCCCCTCACCCTCTCCCTCTCCCTCTCCCTCTCACTCACTCTCTCTCTCTCTCTCTCTCTCTTTCTCTATATTTTTCTTGTATTTTTCAAGCTTTCGTCTTTATCTTCGTCTTCCTTTAGTGGTGGCCCCACTAGCACGCCCCAAACGCACCCTTAACGCTTGGCTGCATTCACATTCCTTATCTCAGCCGACCTTCACTGTTTTCCTCACTTGTTTCCCACGCTCGCATTTCTCACGCGCCGCAACAACTGCACGCACATTATTCTGTGTTACGCTTCCATCCGGCTGGAAAATGTATCCCGTGCACCGTGCGGCGAGTGAACTTATCTGCGTGATGATTCTACAGGAGAAATTATTATGAGAACTTTAACGAAAAATTTTCGGTACCGTTTATTTTAATAAAAAATTACATTTTTACATTAAAAAGTCAATCTTAGTACTATTTATTTTACCTTTCATTTTTTCGTTATCGTTAAAACTCAAAATTTTCAAGTTTTTTTCATTAGTTTTTTTAAATTATTTATATATTGTTTGTTTTTTTATTAATTTCCTTCAAAATTTGCAAAATATAAGAAAGTATTCTATGACCAATTAAGATAACTCCAAAGGAAAAGACACATCAACCTAAGACGTGATTAGGATGAGGTTTAATATTTTTTAACCTAAGACACATCATTCTATCACCTAATTCTATAAAAACGACATTAAAAGCATCAAACGTTTTCTTCAAATGAACGGGAAAATTGTTTTCTAGATGATGATGGGATGAAAAAGTTCGCGTTCGGGCTGTAACGTGTTAGAACTTGTTGTTTCTTTCTTGACTTTTTACTTGCTCTTTTTTTTTTTCTTTTTTTTTTTTTTTTTGAGAATTTTAACAAAAAATTACATTTTTACATTAAAAAATTGTACTATTCATTTTACCATTTATTTTGTCCTTATCATTAAAACTCAAAGTTTTCAAATCATTTTCATTAGTTTTTTTTTTTTTTTTACAATAAAAAGAGAATACCAACAACAAAACGCAAACAGAAACGTGACGAGTACGGTTAATTCTCAATCACGTCCAAATATCGAAACGACTATAATCATCAGAGTGTGTAGTGTTTTGTACACCAATTAACGGCTCAAATCATCGCGAGCAAGTTGGGTATGATATGATGACGATGACAATTTGTGCAGGATTGGACGCCTCAAGTCCTCGCCTCATCATCAGAGAGTGCGAACGTTGCCAACTCTTGAAAATTACACAAAAGGCCGCTTTCTTGTCGGATGTTTCGAGCACAAGTGCAACATCACTGTTGCAAACAACACGAAAAGAATACTCCATCTCCATTTGATCGTTATTGAGCGTTTTGATGCATAGAAGTTTCTCATTCTCGCTCCAGATCTTTTCGTCATGTTCTCGAATCACCCGTAGCTCCATAAATTCTTCGCTCAATATCTTTTCCTACAAGCATCGAATAACATTATTTAATTTTTAGTTAAAGAACCATAACTGCAATTCAGTCATAGTTCAAATACCATATCTACACTGAGAAATGCTAAAGAGACTCTTTTAAAGTGGGATTCATCATGAACTCTCTGTCATCTCATGTTTTTGACACAATTCTCGTGCCAATTTTATAAAATATTGTGCTAAAAACATGAGATGACAGATAGTTCATCAAGAGTTCTATTTTTAAGAGAGTCTCCTTAGCTAGATTTCTCTGGCTACAATCTACTCCTTGTTTTGCTAATCCTTGTAGGGTTATTATTCTTTTCCTACAAGCATCAACGGGTTTTCAACTTTCTGTGTCCAATGTATTTCCTAGTTTGATTGGAAAACTTGCAAGAAAAGAAATAGCGTTTGATTAATTCTATAGCTAGTAAATCAGTTTCCTGCTTCCACATGGGGAATTACTAGATTGTAAAATTATGATTTGTCTCCTATAGGGTGGCAACATGTCGTATTCTGATTAGCAGCGAGACATGCCATATTGAATCGAATAAAATTAATAACTAGTTATTCAGAAATATTACTCTTATCATATATTTGTATCATCTTTTTAATAGAGATAAGATCTACATGTGTTGGTGGACTTTTACCTCCATTAAAGAGATGTACAAATAATGATACGAATATGTGGTAAGTGAAATATTACTCTTTAGTTTGGTTAAAGATTAACTATACTTTTCAAGTGATTAAGCTAAACTAAATTGTTTGAATTCATTAGGTTTGGTTATGTCCAAAGCTGACACACTCTATAATACAGATGGAGGTATTATTAGGCCACATCATTGTATTTCTGCAATAAAAACGTGAATAAAAGCTAGGGTTGAGGTAGAATTAAATGTCTCTTGAAAAAATAAGAAATAAAACCCATATATCATCAATATCACCTCTGAAAATGGGTACTCAATCATTTGGTTTTTTTTTTTTTTTTTTTTTTTTTTTTTTTTATCAAGGAATTTTACCAAAACAACAAACATTACAAACAAAGGCCCATCTACAAAACAAACAACACTAACGGATGGACCTCAAAGCAAAAACCTCAACCCAAAGGTTGAGCCCACAACAAAACACAGAAAACAACACACAGAAAGAAAGAAACCCTAACCGCCCTGTTGCTACCACAGCAAAACACATTGCCGTCGTTGATTGTCACCAAAACAAGGTAATGAAGAACAACAAAAGGATGAACTTGAAACACCAGCCCCAAGCTAAGTTGTGAGTGACATGATCGGCAATATTTCCCGGATTTTTTGTCGCCGGAAAACTGAAAATATAATCCGGCTCATGCCAGCTCTCTAGTTCCACTAGCTTGGATACTTTGCACTCTTTAAAATTGTAAAATATCATTTTCCCATGTTCCTTCACAAGCGCAACGTCACTGTCGCAGAATGCTACAACGGAAGTCCCTCGGGTGCTTAGTCTTTTCCTCTCACTCCATAATTTTTCTCGGCGGTCTTCCATTATCCAGTATTCCATGAACTCATCACCTCCTTTCCGAACCAACGCGAGACGGCCTTGGTAAGCGGTTAAACTGTACTTCCAATGCACGTCGTTGCACATAGGGTGCGGTAGCGCGAAGGTTTCCCAGGTTTCTTTGTCTTGATAGAAAGCCAGTATTTGGTTGTTGGTAAGATGCCAGTACAGCGCACAGCACGCTGAAACAGGTGACTTGGTGTCCAAGAAAACCAAGTGAGGTAAAATCACATCGTTCAGCTGCTTCCAAGACCAAGTGTTTGAATCAAAGACTTCGCATATAGAGTGGTTTTCATATGAGGGGTTGGTCTCGGGCTTCGATAATCGAATAATCTTAAACCAGCTGCTCAAAACTGGGTTCGAACTCGACCTCAACACGGTAACAGCAGTGCCCCGAGTAAAATACCTTGTCTTAGGGTTTGGTATTTGTTTCCAGTATTGAGCAGTAGGAGCGCAAACAAAGTAGCGAGGAATCTTATGGTTTTTATGGCTCACGCCAACGAGTAAACCTCGATCGGCGGCTTCAATACTGTAGGGAAAATGTAAGAACCTAAGCGAAATAGTTTTGGAGTTGTCGATGTTATCTTCCACTGGTAAGAAGGTGCAAACACGGTTTGGGTAGAACTTGCTCTGAAGGAAGAAGCCATATGTTGTGTTGGTTTTCTCACAAAATAGTTTGAAGGAGTCATAGGTGGCGTGGTACCATTCCTTCGAGACAAGTCTGCAACTGCCTAGGGTTTCCGGGGATATTCGGGTTAAAATATGGGAACGTATAACGTCGGAAGGGAGAGTTGGTGAAGAAGAAGCCATTAGAGAAAAGTGTGTTTTTCTTTAACACTGGTTGAGAGAGAGAGAGAGAGAGAAGAGAGAGAGAGAGAGAGAGTATCATTGGTTTTATATTCAGCGAGAGAATATCAGAGATGCTTTTTACTAGTCCTTGATGGGTTTGGAGAAGGGGTAACGTAATGATTCTTTTTCTTTCAACTTTCTGATATCCAATGTATGTCCTTTTTTGATTGTAAAACTTGCAAGAAAAGAAATAGCGTTCGATTAGCATTCGAACTTGTAACTAGTTTCCTGCTTTCAGATGGGAATTAAGGAGTAGCATTCTTTCTCGTGAAATTAAGATTTTAAAGGATTTTAAAGGAGAGAATTGTTATGGGTGTTCTAAAATTTTCATTCTACACTCTAAACTTTCTATATTTAGAAAGAAAAATATACTTGTGAGGAGTGTAGAATGAAATTTTTAGAAGTGATAGATTTGATAGGATTTAGGAGGATTTAAGACTCCTACAAAATTCATATGGATTTTAAAAAATTTTAATAGATTTAGTTTGTAGATTTTGGTGGATTGTGGTGGATTTTTTATTTTTTATTTGTTCTTGTTTTTTCTTCTTCTTTCTGGACACAATACAAAATCAAATCAAACTGGAGGTGTGTCGAGCATTGGTGCGAACAAACGGCAGCAAGAGAGTGGTTCTAAGGTAGAGGGTACAGCAGTGGCAAATTGAATGGGTTGAGCAAAATATTCAAGTATGGGCTTCTGGATGGAGGTACAGGAGGAGAACTCAAGATCTGGGTTCGTCAGCACAGCGGTGGACAACAGCAGGGGCAGATGGAAAAGGATTTGAAATCGTAGGCGGTAAGGTTGGATTTTTTTTAGTTTTGGTTATATATACTTCTTACTCTCAAATCTCACAAAACCCACAACTTATTGAAATCCTCCAAAATCTTAATTTTTTTTTTAATACACTTAGATTTGGATGGATTTTAAAATCTTTTAATTGACTACACCTTTATTTGAATGAATTCTAAAATCCTTTAAAATCTTTTAATTGACCACACTAGGAATTTAAATTTAAAATCCTCTCAAATCTGAGTTTGACTACACCCCCTAAATTTCTCTTTTTTATTATTTGAATGGCTACAATTAAGTCACATTAATATCTTGTTTTGACTTCTTTATAGAGAGAAAGACAAAGAGGAAAGTGAAAGAGAAGGAAAGAGGAAGGAAGGAGATTTGAAGGACAATATTTTTTTTGGGTAATGCTAGGAAGATTAAATTTAGAGACAAAATTTTGAAAACTAAAGGACATAAAAGTTAATGATTAATTTATTACTTAAGAGTTGATAAACGTGCTCATTCTTATTTGTAACACATCATTTAGTTCACAAATTTATATCTAAATTTGTCTTCCTAGCGTTACCTTTTTTTGGGCTAAGAAGGCTAATGAAAGACAAAGCAAGAAATTAAAATTTTGATTTGGAGATTCAAGTTAGGCCACTTGATTAAAGTAATGTGTATGTACTTTTTTCCTCACATATAAATTTGAACATAAACGAATCAAAATTACCATTTTAAATATATCTTCAATATTCAGTCCTTTATTTTATTGAGTTCAACCATTAAAATTTAGGATGAATTACCGATTTAGTTCCTATACTATCACCTCAGTGAAAATTTGATGCCTGAATTTTTTTTTTTTTGTAAAATAAGTCCCTTAATTCATTAAAAATTGCTAATTTCCTCCTTACTATTATATTCAAAGTTATTTTATCAAATTTTCAACAACTTAAGTTACTTGACACACTTTAAAGTACAATACTATCATTTTCTCACCTTTAAGCTTTTAACATTTCATATAAGTTGCGAATCTAACATTTAATTTACCTTCTAAAGTTAACTCTATACTCTATTTCTTTATAATAAAAAAAATTGTCAATCTACCCTCAAATATGTATCAAATGCAAGTAATGTGACTTAAATTGAAAAAAATTGAATAGTAGTAGCTTCAAATCTAATATTAGAAATGCAATTGGCAAATTTTTATAATTCAATGACTAGTTTTTCTGAAAAAATAATTTAAAAACCTAATTTTAACAAGTGATAATTTAAAGACTAAATTGGCAATTCACTCTCAAATTTAATTTCTAATCATTTCAACCAATTTCGTAAATTTAATTACCCATTCTAATATGATTAAGTAGTTTAAATTTCATCATGTCAAAAGTAATACTAATAGTGATTTACCTTTAAGGGAAATTAAAACATATAAAATCTTTGTGAAGATTTCCAAAATGTTGTAAATATGTTCACGAAAATAACAAAGGCTATGGAGCAGTGAAATACTGCATAATTACAGGTACTAGAACTGGAGAAGCATTACATTAGTCAATTAAATGGATTTATAGGCAATTTCCAACAAATTAATCGAACATCCAAAATTCCAACCAGCTATATATCAACTGTAAAGTTAGCTAGACCTAAATTGGTAGGAGCCAGGCATGTCGTGGGATCCGATTTGATCCGAATCTTGAAGCCGTTTCTTGGCTTCTTGAAGCTATCAAGACTGCAGAGTACAGATACATGACAATATAATCTTGAAAGTGTTTGTTTCAGCAATTTGCTATTCACTTCTTAGGCTTCAACGAAAGTACATGAACTGGCGCTTTAATCACAACCGACACCATTGGAAGCCGATAATTCATCAGGTGCATCTTGAAGCACCGGATAACCTGAAAACAAAGGTTGAAAGAGGCAAGTTGAACAAAAGAACAGTTTTCCGCCTTCAGAAAACATAGCTTTGACCATTATGTAGGTAGTTTAAAGCAATAAAAGGTGCATGTGATTGTATCTGTATTGTTTGTGTGTGCGTGCGAGCGCAAGGAGAGAGAGAGAGCGCTTTATAACTCACCATGTAAATCAGAGATCTAAGTTGATTCTTTCAGACCATTTGAAAATATCAGAGTGCACTTTGTCTCCGCCCAATTCGTCTCCCGTAGCACCTGCTGCCACTCTTAAAACATCCTCGATCAAAGCAAAGTTCCCCATTATGTCAACATGAGCACCACTTTGGGTGCCTCGTCCCTCAAGAAGATTAGCCGGAGGAGCATGATCATATTCCCTTATGTAAGTAGGGATGCCTGCAGGATTGAATCGGGTCTTACCCCTCCAACCTTTAGCACACATGAAACCTGCACTCAGAACAGGAACAGTTTCATCGCCATCAGTGGAAAATATTCCACCTTTTAAACAAGGGTCCTCACTTCCACCCTCTGCTGAGGTATCTATCTGAAATGGAATGTAGCATTCAGCACTAGGAGTTAACTTGTATACATATGCTCTCTCTGTCGGGATTCCAACTCCATACATGGAATAGATCTCCATGTCCGGAGCATTTGGTAATCTGCACAAGCAGTCAGAGGTTTAGGCGCCACACTAACAGATTATTTGCTTAAACAGTGAACACAAGCCCAGAACAACTAAATAAACAATACATGAACAAATGAAGTGTTTATTTTATGATAATAAGAGCCGGAAATTTAAGTATATAAAGCTTTTTGATTGAAAATGGAAAATTTGAATGAACATACAGGACGTGTTTGGAGCGTGACTGTCTTCCCACTTTAGGTAAAGCATTGGGAAGCAGTTTCCCAAAACAACCATAGTGAATTTTTTACTACCTAGGCAAAACTGGGGCATTTCCTACTTAAGGATTCATCTCTGAGCATATAAAAGGCATTGGAGAATGGTACGTGCAGATACAATTTAAAGCACTAATACTGGCTACACTCAATTAAGGATCGCCAAAAGATGGAAAACGAGATTATTCAATATATGATTCACTAGGGGGAAAGCTGATAATACAACACAAAAACATGAAAACTCACTTTGTTTCTAGGGGATTCGACCAATACTTGTAGTGTTCATATTTTGGGTCATCCAAATTGTCGGCAATCCCATACGAAAAATGATTATCCCCACGTGCCATCAGCTTGGGGGCAACAAAATGAAAGAGATCCAAAATTGATCCAGCTGTGTAGACCTTGTAATCTGCAACGGCTTTGACACCACCAACACCCATTTCATGGTACTCCGTCCATACATCACACTGGGTAGCATTTGCAAGGTAATTACCCTTCACAGCGTCCTGCCAATCACGCACAAGTCAAAGTGATACACATTAAACAGTTGTGATAGTATGTATCTTGAGATTCTAAGAAAAGATAAGACAGTACACATCTTGGAAGACGAACAATCCAGGCAACCTCCTTCACATTTTTATGAATAATCCCATATTAAAAAACAAATGACTAAACCAAGATGCTAGGTAAACTACTAAACGATGGTACAATTATAAGGGCAAGGGGACATATATACTTCTAATGGAATGCCTTTGGTTAATTATACTTGAGCACAGAGCAATACCCTAAAATCGATCATCTCAATCTTGGAGGAATCAGCCTCCGCTACATCTTTCCCAAATGATACAATCCTCCCATAATTTACTATCTTTTCAACTGCACCGTTTGTATCGTTATTCTTCACCTTCTTTGCACTACAATTGCAGTATCCTTCAGGTGACCAATCAAGGCCACCCCAAATAGTGTCCCCGCCTTTTGGTATCATTGACATGGTTGCATCCCATGTACGGGTCATTCGCATCATATGTTGTAAGGTTTGGAGGCCAAAAACATCCTTATCCAAAACACCTGGTGCGAAAGCCCTGCAATAAAGATTCACGGTTGATCAAGAGCCCAAAGCAGGGTACAAAAATGCATACATGTTTCTAGCAGACTAGATAAAGCAGGACACAACCATAATTCACATTTCTAGGCAGACGAATATGGTGCAAAAGTAAATGAGATAAACCTGGCAACTGCAATATCTCTGGCTTCCATTGAGAAAATTCCCGCAATGGCTTTTGGAACCCCTAGAAAGGGTCCACCAATGTTCATTACAGCTTTAATATGCTTCGCACACCAATCTGACCCACCCCCACCACCCACTGGTCCCGGTGCCTCAACCCACTTCATGAAATGCAAAAAGTACAGAACACCCATTGAGTGAGGAATAACAACCACCTTGTTACCGCCATTTGTGGCTACCATAAGCTCTATGTTACTCTTTATCCTGCTTAAAGTTTGGTCCCTAACCTGACAAAGGCAATCAAGCAGATAAATACAATATGAGTCATTTTTCATGGTAAAATCTGTCGTGCTACGATGAACAAAGAAACTGTAGGAATTTCCATCACAGGAAGCTAAATGGGTTACAAAACAATACCTCAGTATTTTGAAACGATAGTCTCCAATCATATGACGCCATATACATTGTTTTCTCTTCATATCCAATGCGAGCCAAATTTGCAATCAAAACTGCCCACACAAAATAACCTGGTGCAAAGTAATCAGCTGCCACAAGGCCAGAAACAGGCCTGACCCTTATACCTGGAGGGTCCAGTCCAGTCTCATTATCCAGAGACATGTGCTCAACCCAGCACAACGGTCTGCGAAAGATGAAAGGAAACATGGTTGACAAGAATCGTGATGTAAGATTCAATTCCACCACCAATATTCCAAAACTTCAGAAAACAAATAGGAGATTGACTTCAGAAAACAAATGGGGAAAACCAAAACACCCCAATGATTAGTGTTTCGAGCATGAAATAACTCCATACTTCTTTCGGATAACAGAAAGAAAAAATGAAAGAGTTTCGCATCCACACTCTAACAAGCACCCTCATAACATTTTCTTCACATCTACAATTCAAAAAGTTTATCAATCTACTTTTACACATGGCATATAGTTGAATTAGGTAGCACTACATTTTCAAGACACCACCCCTATATTCAACTCACTTTACAGATTTAAGTAAAATACTGGTAAATTAAGCAACCTCGCCGCAACGAAAACTGCATTGATTACAGCAAAATCAGCTCATAAACTAACCAACAAACCACCTCATGGGTTCACTAATTAAACTGCTTTGCGCTTTACAGTGATAAGTAAAACAAACAAAAACAGCATTGATTAAGCCAAAATCACTTTTCAAGTATCGAACACATTACCCTCTTAGTATGTCACACTTCCTTCTAAACTACGCCAAATCACTAAATAATCAACAAAAAGCTCAAAGTCCAAAAATCCAAATCAAATTAATCCCCAATTAAATTATTAATCATGTTTTAGCATGAAAATCCCAGAAAGCACTCACCTTTTGTACACTTCACCAAATGTGCCACCCCACAGCCGCTTCCTAAACAATCCATCTGCACAACTATGCCCTTCCCACAATTCGAGTCCGCCCGTGACAATCCCGGGCACAAACACCACCGGGTGCTTCACCGTAAGCCCCTCCTTCCTCAATTTCACCCCCGGCGGGTCCGTCATCGGCCCCGTTATCGCCTCCGTCACGTACTGCGGAAACGAGGCGGGCATTGCGTTGTAGAGGAAGAGCAGGAACCACCAGATCGAGCATATGAACCCAATGAACCAGCAGCAGCTGTCGACGCACGACCACCTCTGCTGCTTTTCCCCGCCATTTTTCTTGTGAGTGTGCTTTTGCTGCTGCCCCTTCTGCGTTTGCGGTTCCTTTTCTTTCTCGCTCTCGTCGCCAATCGGCGGAGACGGCGGCTCTGAGTCGGAAGCGGCTTTTCCCTTCCTCCGTCTAAGAAACGACATCGTTTTGATAACGGGAGAAAAAAAGTGGGCGGCTTTAAACGCTCTCTCTCCGATGAGTTACAAAGTTCATTTTCTGGTCCCTCGGTGCTCAGCGAAGCAGCTGATCGAACCCCCAAGCCCGAGAAATACGGTTACTATATTTATACACAGCGGCGATGGTAGCTGTGGCGGCGGGCGGAGAGGCCTTCGCCGGCGAGTGGGGATGTGGAGGATTCTGATTGGCTGTCGAACTGGTTGTGTACTTGTGGTTGTGTTTAGAAAATCGGAGGGACTGAGCCTGGTAGCTCCCAGAACCTACAAGGGTCCCACAACACACTGCTCTAGGACACGTGGCGGTAGCCTGTGGGAGATGATGGATGTGATCAACGGTGGTTTAGTTGGGATGACGTTTTCCTTGCTTTAATCTGTGTCCGAGTGAGCATGAAAGAACATAATTATCGACTTCAAACAATTCAGATCTTTGAAATTTGATCAAATAATTAAAGTTTTTATAACTTTTAAAATGGATCCGTATTTTTAACCGTTTGATCAAATTTCAAAAGTTCAAATTATTCAATAAAGATGATTAGGTGAAAGAGATCCGAAAAGAATCCCTTTCCGGCATGAAATGGAAATTAAATTAAGTTTGACTTGTTCTTTTCTTTGAGCGGAACATTTTCTTGTGTAACGCTTTGTGTACTTTATTCTTATTCGTCTTTTTATTTATGATTAACGAATTTTTATTGTATGAATAAAACATATAGATGATTTAGCAATATAATGTGATCATTTCATTTTTTTTATCATCATTAAATTAAAAGACATATATAAAAAATTATTCAGTTTGAAAATCTTTAACCATTTATTTAAAGAAAACCTACAGACAATTTATTATAAAAGTACCACTTGGTACTAAAATGATTAATTAGTTCAACATGTGAAATGATTAAATTATATCAAAATTGAATTATATATATATATATAGACAATTTAGAAATAAACGATTTTAATTGAAATAACCGGTTTTAATTATAATGTTCTAACCGTAAAATTCGTCGCAGGTGGAGACAAATAAGTGCCTTCATTAGAAGACAAGCGTTATCCTTTTCTTTTTTTTATTGGGTGGAGGGCAAATAACATTATTTTAAAGTGCTTTTTTTATTTTATTAGTCGAAATATTTTATAGTGCATGATTATAATATAATTATTTTGTTGACTGTCTCTATTAATATTATTGGCTTTTGTTATTTTAGTAATATTTAGGTTGTCGGCAGCACCGAGATAAATTACAATAACTTTTGGAGAAAAAACCAGATAAAATAGTCTGGACCATAAAGTTGAAGCTGAAGGACAGATTTTTCAAATAAGAGATTTTTCAGTGTGATCGATACACATAATATTACATCACGTGTCATTATATAAATGATAAAATATATATGTTAAAAAATTAATAATTTAAAAAATAAAAATTTTTATTAATTATATAAAAATACGTAATTTACCACTTATGTTTTGATTATAATAATAAAAAAAATTCAAAGGGCAGGTGGGGCCGTTGTGGTTGTGGCCTTCTTTAGAGTCCGGATCTACTGTGCCAGAGCACCCTCTGCTGCATTTTGGTGTGGACAAGTGTCCCTTTACTTGACCACAAGTTAACTCCGTTAACTTCATAAATAAAAATTCAAAGAAAATAAGAAAACCAAACCGGAGAACTCGCAACCCGACGCACATAATCCCGTCAGCCACCCCACCTCCGCCGGAGGCAGCCCCTACCCTCCTCCCTGCCGGCAGATCTCTCTCTTAAAAAAGTGGGCCTATAATTGAAGCGCAAAACCGACTCATTCCTATTTCATACTAAAACCTTGAAATCGAACCGAATGGTTCCGTATCAATTTGGTACATACCTTAAAATCGAACCGAACTGTATTGAATTTTTTTTTTCAATTTGGATTTTGATTTCACTTTCATATCGAACCTAACAAAACCGTGCCCAGGCCGAAATGAGACTAATTACGGGCTTGTTTTGGTTTGCTTAATTTTTTTTAAATTAGCTTCTGAAAAAAGTTAAGGTCTTAATTGAGTTTGGTAAATAAATTTTTTTTTTTTTTTTAAATCATGGTTCCAAAACAGCATAAAACAAAAGCAGCTCTACATGCTTCACAAAAAAATGCCTGAAGGTAGGTAAACGATACCAATTAATTAATGAAACTTTCATATTGACAATCCTAATCCTATCTTCTTTTTTTCTTCTTTTTTTCTTTTTTTTTCTTTTTTTTTACTAAAAACACTTTTACTACTATAGTTTATCAAACATTTACTTACTTTTTTTTCACAGCTGTTTATTCTTGAAACACAGTAGACGCAGTTTTCAAAAACAACACATCAACCCCAAACTAACACTACAGCAGCCCATACTGAAAAATTGAGAGATAATTTGACTTTTTATAACATCAATTTATTTTTAGAAATATACGAACTCATATATAGTACTTATATAATTTTTTTCTATTTATGGTTATATTGAGGTAAAGGATGGTCATGGGTACGTAGTGTGCTAAATTCAGAACCAAAGTTAAGCCTGAGTGCAATTACTTTATTTCAATTTTTACGCGAATCCAACTTTAATGGATCTGAAGTTTAGCCCATTTGAAAAGAGTTTGATTCTTACCCTTTTTCCAATCCAAGTCAAGAATAAAAGGAAAAAAATTGATAAATAGAGGTTAGCCTAACACCTAACTCATGATCAGATATTCGATAATGATTTATATAGTATGAGTACATTATTATCAGAGAAAATTAGAGCAACAATTTATGAACTTTGCCCAATTGGAGCTTTAGTCCCTAAACTTAAAATCCATGAGTATTAGTCGCTGAACTTGTTATAATGTGGAGCAAATGCTCATTTTGGTTAACTACGTTAGAATTTTTATCCATTTCTTGTCCTTTTAAACTCTTTATGTTGGATGGAAGTTCTAAAAGAGTTAGCCATAAGAATCATTGCTTCGTATTATAACAAATCTAGGGATTAATACTCACAAATTTTTAGTTCAAGAACCAAAACTCCAATTGAGCTAAAGTTCAAAACCCATTGCTCCAATTATCTCTTTTTATCATAACATCCCGATTAAATTGAGATGAAACGCTCCAATAACAATCTTTTGTGCCTAAGTAAGTTGCTCTCCATATGTTTGATATAAGAGCATCCTCAATGAAGGGCTTTATATGAGGATAGAAAAGTGGTGGATGTAGCCTAATTTAGAGCTCTGAGGAATCTTTGGGGCTCTAAAAAAGAATCTTTCCCGATAAGGGGCTATATATCTTTCGGCCTCTATATATTTTATTATGTAGTAATTTGATTATGTGGTAAATTTATTATTGCCTTAACTTCTCTAAACTTGATTTTTGGACGTATTATCTTAAATTTTAATTTATGAACTTTTTAACCTAAAAATATTAAAATTCTGACAAAATTAGATTTCATCACTTATACACCATTGTATGTTCTCTTATCTCAATCTTATCCGTTTGTTTGTTTCTTTGAAATCAGACAAGATAAGATTTCGTTTCATAACAATCATTGATTTTGATTATCTTATCTCAATCTCATATGTTGGTTTGTTTTTTATGAAATTAGACAAGATAAGATTTCATTTCATAACAACTGTTGGTTTATTTCTCTGATTGACACTTTCTCCGAAATCAATCAAGATTTTCATTTCATAACAATCATTAGATTGGATTGGATTTTCTTATCACAATTTAGTTATGTTATTTGGTTATATTTTCGGTTTAGGTCTCTAAACTACCAATGTTAAATTTCATCAAATTTTTTTTTTTTTTTATGAATTTTTCATTCTAGAAATTTAAACACGAAACACAACATTTTTTTTCTAATCAACAACACAAAAAATAGTAATTGTTTGTATATGTTTTCTTAATCAAATAAACAGTTGAAAATAAACTCTTAAAATCCTAAACGGTTGAAAAATAAACCCTTAAAATCATATTTTGGAATAAAAAATGGGGCTCACCCATTTCTAAACTAAAAAAACAAAAACAAAAACCAAGATTGGGCCCTCAATTTGGTGTGGTCCCCCTATTTTTGGGGGCTGGATGTTGCCTAACTTCTTGCCACCCAAGAATTGAAGTTGTTAGCCCTTGTGGTGGATGTAGCCCCATTTTCAGGCTTATTAGGGATGATATTTTTATTAGAGCTACAAATATGGCAGCCTCAAAGAGGATAAAGCTCTCATGGGGGATGCTCTGACTCTCCAGACTAACTGTTGGACCATACAGGTCAAACATCAACAATCGCAGCCCACAAAATCTTGGATCTTCGACTTCGAACTCAACAAACCGTATTTTAAACAGGCCTCTCTAGAACTCCACAACCAAATGGATAATGAGCCCTAGAAACCCAACCCGGTAAACACCCGGTTCCCGGTGAAACGTCACGTTTCCTGTTATAGCCAATTAGGGAGCCTCAAGCCAAAAAGAAAACACACCACACTCCTCTCTCTCTCCACGTTCTCCTCTCTCTTCACTCTCTCTCTCCTCACTCGTCACTCCAACATCACCATGAACTCCGATGACACTGAAACTATAATATTGGTAGGTGAATTGTAGGATCGTTTGAAAGTATTTTTAAAATGATTGAAAATGTTTTTAAAAAAATAATTTTGGATTTTAAAAGCACTTTTTAAAGTGCTTTCTGTAAAAAAAAAAAAAAAGGAAGTCAATTATATGCTTCTTCTATGAAGTAGTTTAAGTTCATTTTAAAAGCGCCTTTAAGAGCATTTTCAGTGTTGGAAGCCCCCTTAGGCAACTGCTTATTAAATCCCCTCCAATGAATAGTAACTGTCTTTAATGAACAGTAATTGCCTTTTGGATCTCCACCTCTAAACTGAATACCATGGCAATAGGCAATAAAATATTAGTATTTTTTATTTTATAAAATAATAAAAAATAATTTTATTTGTAATTTTAGATAAAAATTTTAATCGGTCTCATTGCGCCACGTGTCATTAAATAAGAAATTACAACCCAAAATATTTGAGAAAATATAAAATTATGATATAAGGTGAAAGATAATGATAAGATATTTATAGAAAAATTAAATCTTTTTTTTTTTTACATTTTTGATTAATTTTTTAATGTAGCTGACTCAAGCGCTTGGGCCGTTGATTCCTACCTCCCCTCTCCCACAGGCCCACCCCTTACCCAATTGTCCACATGAGCTGAAGCAAGGAAGGCTGGCTATTGGGTTTTTTCGGTCCCCT